TAGTTACCACAGAAGTTGTAACTGGAGGGAGTGCAGGACGAGGAGACACGTGTGACCCCCACACCCCCCCCCCCCCCCTCCCCCCCCAACAGGCTGCAATAACGATATAATGCCATAAATCCAGCGATTTTTTCATTAAGCTCTGACATCTAGAGATTAGTTTCCTCTTAACACACGCATTGTTTTTACTTGCCCTAATTTGCCTTTTACAAATAATGGCAAGAAATGCTGGTACCAAGAAAGCATAACCGGTGTGATGCTGCATGCAGGCTCACCCACGTGCTGCTTGTGATCGGCGCAAGGAGCTGCGGAGAAATAAAATGCAAGATGACTGGGCTGCTTTGTGAAACCTTCCAGCTCAGCACTGCTGAAACGCCGTCGGGTGCCCCGCGCTCTGGGACCAGCACACCACCCTCAACATCGCCATTCTGCCCATTTCTTCCCTTATGGACGCGGTTATAATAAACGGCGGCTAAGCACAGATGCTTCCCTGGCATACCGTCAGGCAGCCTTGCTGGAGGAAATTTTTTTTCCCCCCTGCAAGCTGCCAAGGTGGACTCCTTAGCTCCTGCGATAAGACTGAATGAGACTGCAGTTCCCCCATCAGTTTCATAATACTCAGAAAGCATCCATTTACATCATTGTGTGCAGTGCAGGGCAGCAGCTGCCAGGAAATTTGAAACTATTTTGATTCCAGTTGACTAGAACAGCAGCAATTGAATTAGCTGGTATCGCTATAGATAAACTGATGAGCTGTGCATTTTATTTCTTTGACCAATGGGTAACTGCTGGAGCTACAGTAACCTCTGTGAGTAAGGAGACTGTTCAAGCAAATATATCTAATTTCTCGAGCTAGCTTATATATATATATATATATACTGTATAGAGAAAGACACTCACACCATTCTTTTGTAAAATGTACCTGTAAACAAAATGTCTGTCTATGCTTGTAACTTGTGTTTTGCTTCCTAGAATTTCCTTTTTATTATGCTGTAGACAAGCTTGCTTGACATGGAATGGTTATTTACCTATGAAATATCATATCTATGCCTAATTTAAGTCATGAATTCTTTCAACGTCTAGTCATCAGAAAGACTGCCAACTGCTGTTAGGTTATATTTGCCCGGTCTCAGTTTCCTAGCCAGTCACCCCCTTTCTATTTTAGCTTTTTCTCTCTCCGTTTAATTCTTTTTTTTTTTCTTTGTTGAAAGAAGCCACCTTCAATGCAAAGTAGAAATCGGTGTTACCTGAGAGTGTGTGTCCTTTCTTTGTTTGTTTGGTGAAGGGTATTTTTTTTCCCTGCTCATCTTCAGTGCGGTCCTTAAATTTTGTTGTTGCCTTTCTAGCCTTGTTTGTAATGCAGTCATATTGGGGGATGGGGTCGGACAGGATATGCCAGTAGCTGCAGCAAGACATGATGCTGTGGTGGTGGATGGGAATAAGGGAGGAGTTTCCCTTAAAGAGCTCAAGCTCCTGCAAGCTCTGGTACCTGAAAGAGGTCTCCAAGCAAAGGGAAAGGCTTTGCACCTTTTAGGAGCAGGGGGCAATTGGTGGTGGTTTACCGCAAAGAGCGGAGACCTCGGCAGCCGTGTGCATGGTGGTGCCTAATGAAATGGGGACAGACTGCTGCTTTGGTGCCATATGTGATTTTCTTTTTTTATCAGGCAGTGAATTAGGCAATGTTCCGTGAAGGCGAGAATCCTGCTGACTTGTGCTCGGACATGGCAGCGGCAGCAGCAGTCCTTCCAGGGCAGGGCTGCTGGTGCATCACTGTAGAAAAGGCCTTATATTTCTACTGTGAAAGCGCTCCTCTCTTGCCCAGGTGAAACATGGCTTGCTAGCGTGGCGGAGAGGAGTACCTGTGCGCGCGCTCCCTCCTGCACGTCTCTCTGTGCCCATATATGCGTGTATGTGCTCTGTACGTGTACCTCTTCTGGAGTCTGCCAGGCTTTCCAGAGGGTAAAGTTTACTTGGGATGAAGTTCAGGAGGAGAAGTAAATCAGAAACTTGCTCGGGATTGCTTGCTGCCGTCAGCAGCGGCTGTCTGTGGCAGATGGGGACACGCAGCAGTGCATTTAGCATTCACCACCAGATATAAGGTTGCCTCTGTTTCCCTCATGTCAGTTCAGAAGCTAAGATAGCAATTAGCAGAGACGAGCCTGGCGCCTTGGCAGGGTCTGCGTGCGGTGCCTTGGCAGGGCTTGGCCTCCAGCACACGTTGGCTGTATCCCAACCCCATGGGGGGTCAGCTGGAGGGGCGATGCTCTCTCTGGGCTTCCTTCCAACGAGGCGGGGTGTGTGGGTTGGAGGGAGGCACAGGGGGTCCCAGCTCCTGGGGCACTATGCGTTGCCTTCCTTTGGGATGTGGCCAGAGTGTGCGGCCTGGGCAGCAGCATGGCCAAGCGCTGCACCGTGATGCTGGGGGCTTGAGGTGATCCCAGCTGGGGCATGTCCCACTTGCAGGTCTGCAAGCTGAGATTTGCTGTAGGTGGAGCTGTGTCCACCGAGAAGGGTTTATGTTAGCATCTGTAGTGACAGGCTCCCTATCGGGAGTTCTTCTCTCTTAAAAAGATCCCATCTCTGGACATGTCCTGAGAGAGCAGCAAGCACTAACGCCGCTGCATTAGAGCAGACCAGGGCTGCGGGGTGGGGAGCTGGGGCATTTTGCTGGCTTGGGCTGGTCCCAGTGCAGGTGTAGGGATGTTGCAGCCAGACAGCATTGTTCTCATCCATGAGTCCGTCCTGGTGGAAGGGTGTCCCAGTGGCTACCTGGTGCCTGTGCCATGAAGTGGGGTGGTGTGGGATGCACCCAAGCACTGCGTGGCTGAATTGTTCACAAAGGGGGCTGTTTGTTTGGGGCTTCCGGCACTTAGAAAAAGCACCATGCCTGGAAACGCTCATGTGGGGAGAGGGACCTCACTCTCTTCTTCACACTCTCCCAGTGCACCTACACCTCTGTGCTGGAAAACCTGCCTTGAAGGCAGGCTGGTGATGGAGAAGTGGTCAGGGCATCCATGCTCCTCACAGCTCCCTGGGAACTTGCAGCAGGGAAGAGGTCCCTGCTTTGTCTAGTTGCTGTCCTCAACAGCAACCAAGTCATCTAGGTGAAACCTGACCCACTGAAGTTTTATTACGGAGTGATTAAATCAACAGCATGGAGGTATCTAGAGAACCTAGTGGGGAAGAGACTGTGGTTTGGCATGGTCCAAGTCTGTCTCTTTGATCCTGCACCACACACAACGTGTAGTAGTTACCCTGTGGCTAGATATACTGGACAGTGAGCTGGCAGGTGTGAGCTGCTGCTCGTCTTTACAAACCCTGGCAGATAGATAGCTGCATTAGTGCGGTGCTGAGCTTGCGTTAAATTGTCCTCCCTTTCACCTTGAACTCAGCCTGTCATTAACCTAGCAGCTACATGGCTTCCTCCTCAGAAATGGCTTGTGGCCAGCCTGCTCGGAGTGGAGGTGGGGATCGGTTTGCTACGCAGCACCTAGAGATGCGCCTCGAGTGGGGCAAAGTGTCCAAATGCAAGTTGGTGTCTGGTTTCAGAGCTGCCACCCCTGACATTTTTCAGAGTAGGTGTTTGGATCTGGCCCCCCCGGTTGTTTGTTGTAAAGCACTTTTATACTCCAGGCCAGTTTTTTCCAGGAGGGTACAGTGGATGCAGCTGTTGCTGGTTTCTTTGGTTTTTTTTTCTTTTTCAAAAGCTTAGTTCTTCCTTGGGCCATAATGTAAGGTGGCCAAGTGTCTGTCATTGTGTCATCCGTGAGGTCCCTCTGAGGACAGCTGGTTCTCTGTTACACCACAACAATGGGAGCCACTGGGTGCTCAGCGCTTGGAAAGTGGGGCGATCTGTTTTCGCTCCTGCTTTGTTTACATCAGTTGGAAAAGCAGCGCAAGGAGGGGAGGGGTAGCAAGCTTTTTGTGCAGCGGTGAATTGTCTGCAACAGAAAATGTGAAATGCTCGGTATGCGTACATCACTGCAACGTGACCTTCAGTTACCTGAGTTGTTAGAAGAAGAGGGTAGTGCTGGCAGAAGGTTGAATTGCTCATTAATTGCTTTGTAATTTAGCTAATTGGTTTTGTCAAGGCTGTGGAATATACATGGTGTGGCTGATTATCTTCCCAGTGTTTCATCTTTATGAGTTAAAATGACCTAAAACCATTTTTTTTAAATAAAACCAACATGTATGACGCATGCTGTGGATGGATTTCAGACCTCTGAATATCTGCTTTCTTCAGCCTTTGCGCCTGGCCTGTGGCCTCAGACTGTTCATGGGCCACTGAGACCCTTTCTGAAGTGTAGCAGACATTTCTGGCATTCCTTCCTCGGCAGTGCACACTCCCAAAGTAGGGCTGCCCAAAAACTCCTATGTAAAAGGACCAGCTCTGGATAAATGCAGTGTGAGAGCGTGCAGAAGTGAGTTAAACCAAACGGTATTTTCCCTGCAGGGGAGAGCGTAGTTACTCTGTTAGGAGAGGGCTTGGAAGGGAGGTCAGGCTTTTTGCTTATGCATGTGGTAGATAAAGGTACGCTCTCTTTTTTTTCTTTGCAGGTAGTGGCCGTGGAAGCAGCACTTTGCTCCCTCATACCATCATCAATGAATTTCCAGAGTACGGCGCCGTAGAGCCAAGCGGAGACGCGCCGAGGGCTTTGTCGCCGTGCCAGGCAGAGCCTGTGACACGCAGCCCAGAAAGACGGGACGGTCACCACTGGGTACCTGGCGGGCCCCTTCCTCAGCGTGCGGCTCCTGCAGACAGTTCGAGACCTGACGCTGGGGCAGCGCAGCTGCGCGCCCCAGAAGAAGGTTTGCAACCTGCGGGTAACCTGCCAGAGATTATGAAAATCTCTCGACGGCTGGAAGCAACAAAGGTGCAAGAGAGAGCAAATACTTCTCTTGATTCAGAGACGCAAATGGAAAAAAAGAGCGTTACTGGCAGCCAAAACGTGCAGGCAGCCAGAGAACCAGTTCCAGCAGGCCAAGAAAAACCCTCAGACATGCCTCTTCCATCTGAACGAACAGCTGAGGAAAAAATGTATTTGATTGTAGAGAAAGATCTGGCTGCAATATGGGCTGGAGTAAAGCAGTCCGAGTCCTTGCAAGCCATCGGTAATAAAGCCGAGGAGGTCCACGCAGTGCAGGAGACAAGCTGTCATAGACCATCTGTGACAAACCTGGAAGCAGCCAGAAGAGTGGAGGGGTGGGCGCATTTTGAGGAGTTTTCAGCATACAGTCAAGGCAAAATGCAAATGGGTCCTGAGAGGAGGCTCTCTAAAGAGGCAGCTGTGAGCAAACATGTAGAATTTCAAGGGGTGGAGATTTTATGGCTGCAAAAAGCCGAGGAGCAGAGAAGAAAGAAGCACTCGCTGCTGGAGACCGTGTCCGTGGAGAAGAAGGCGTTCCCCAAAACATCCAGCCACCCTGCACCACCGATGGTCTCCCCAGGCTTGGTCTCCTCGCCAGACAGCGCTTGGAGCGAGGTCTGTGAGGACCCGAGGCTGGGACCTGCTGCCTCTGGAGCCACTCCTCTGGCGCTGCTCGATGAAAGCGGGGAGGCTGAAGTTTTTGTGAAGGACAAGAAGAACAGTGGCGAGGAGGAGACGGTTGTGCTAGCGAGAGGCCCCAGCAGGTGAGACGGCGCTTGGGGGGGTGCACGGGGCAGGCGGGGTTTCCCTCATCCCCTTTAGGAGCTAATGACAAACGACGAATGTTTGTCTGCTGCCTGCGGTGTGGTGGCAATGGCAGCAGTTCATGCCTGGTGGTGGCTAGTGCATGAAGTTGGGACTGAACCCCATCCACACCACCCTGCTGAGGTTTGAAGTCCGTCTCAGGTTTGGAAACATAAAGGTGTCTCTTGCTGTTTGCAGAGTAATGGCTGCATGACGGAGCACCTGTAGCAGGTGTAGTTGGGATCTGGACATGGCATGTAATTAACCACAGGCAGCATGCAGGCCTGGCCGTATGTGCCTGGCCAGATTTTCTGGTTTTGGGCAGAGTTTGTGCAAGAATGGTGTGAGCACCTCGAGAGGTTGGGTAATAAAGATGTTTTACCCAGGGCCTTGCATGTTATAAGAGGGTAAATGCTGGGTAATGTGCTTTCCATATTAACTGCCTATCTGCATTTATAGAATTGTAGCTCTATCTATTGCAAAAATTGTGCTCTGCTTTTTACAAGAGCATCCCAATTTGCTCACTTTCTTTCTGGGTGCATGCCTGTAACAAAGCAAAGGGTCCACCGGAGCGCTCTGAGCGAACCATGCCCGCTCTGACCTGGCAGGCTGTTTCCACTGAAACAACAGGATCCCAGTGAGGGAGGCACTCCTGCTTCTGTGGAGTTTTGCTTTGGCTAGCATGTGGGATCGCTCGGGCGGGCAGCCCTGATGCCTGGCACGTGCTCTGAGAAGCCCCGCAGTAGTTGGTGCAGCAGAGGAGAAGATGCTCCGCAGGGGGATGCTACACCTTCCCCTGTGCATCTGCAAGCAGGCCGAATTTTCCCCCTTCAAATCTGGTTCTCCCAGCTCCAGGTTTTTAATTTTATTTGCTTCCCTTTGCGTTTTGGAGGGATTTCCTCCCACCTTTTGCCGAAGACCCCAGCCCTAGGACTGCAGAGCCAGCAAACTGTCCTCCGGGGGCAGAGGCCCCATCTGGGTGCACGTCTCCGAGCTGTGCAGCCTCTGGCATGGCGATGGTGCTAGCGGAGACCATAGGCATTTGTGAGTGCTCCTTTGCACATAACCGGCTGATGTTATCTGTTAGGCAATAGTAGGCTTTCCCTCCGCCCCCCTCTTCTACCCAGAAGACTGTTTCTTTTTATGTCCCTGGAGAGGGAGATGGTGCCAGTCGTGAACAGAGGTGGTGCAAGGAGAAACTAGCATTTTGCCCACAGCGTCCTCTCCTGCACAAAGCCATGTTGACCTTTCTGTTCGCAAAGGTGGAAGGTGAGGAGGTTCACCCAGAGATCTAAACCTTGCCCCTGAGCTGAAACGAGCTGTTTCTGATTAATTTCCAGGATGATGGAGGAGGGGGAAGCAGCCATAGGAGGATATGAAGATATCCTTGGGCAGAGGCACTCCGATGTCTCCACTGATCTGTACAGCTCACAGTTTGAAAACATCCTAGACAATGCATCTTTATACTACAGCGCGGAGTCGCTGGAGACATTGTACTCGGAGCCTGATAGCTACTTCAGCTTTGAGATGCCACTCACTCCCATGATCCAGCAGCGCATGAAGGAGGGAGGCCAGTTTTTAGATCGGACGTCAGCCTCGGGGCAGCCAGATGTCCTGCAGCTTCCCCCTGACGGGGAGGTGAAGGGCTGCGGTGAAGGCATCGCCAATGGCTTAAGGGATGTAAGTGAAACACTCTTCAGAGGAGACGTCACGGAAGTCCCTCGTTTGGAAAGGTAAAAGCAGTGGGTGAGCTTTCTGTGTGCCTGCTGATTTTTCCCCGATGTCTGTTTACTTCAGCGGACTGTTGCAGAGTGTAGTTGTGACTCTTTCAACACTGCATGTTTTCTACACAGAATAATTTCCAGTGTAACAGAGTGAGCTGCAGGAGAGAAGTGAGCTGTCCAAACCTGCCGTTCATTAGAAAAGCGCAGATTTACTTTACGAAGGTTTTGTAGGTGGTACTTGTGTCGATAAAAGGCTGGCCGGTATTGTCGCATCTCTGGGACCTGTCCCTGGAGGAGTTAGTTACCGGTTACAGACGATCCTTTTTCAGCTCTAGTTATACCTGAATTTGTTAGCAGCACTATTTTAGGAACAATAACACCCTGTGCACATGGACGAGTTGTCCAAATGCAGTTTGTGATTTGGATGTTAAAGGTGTGTCTCTGGGCATAGCTTCTCCTCTCTTGAGGTCAGTGGGAGTTTTGCTGTTTAATTCAGCTGGGACGAGGTTTTTCTCCCACCACATTCATGGGATTAGAGACTGTTCGCCGCTTCTTTCGTCTGTGCACTAGTTACTGATTGAGAGAGGAGGCAGCGTTGCAAAAATGTTAATAATTTCCGTTTAGGTAAAGGGAGAGATGAGAAAACGTATTAAGAGAAGAGTCATGTGAGAGGCAAAAACTAGGCTAAGTGGTCAGAAAATACTGTGTAATTGTAGAAACTCACTCTGTGAGCAAACTTTCCTCATCGTGTGTTGTCAGAGAGGGTGGGGAAAGGCAGCGACAGGCAAAGTGGGGGGCCGAGCCAAGAGCAGTGATCTGCAGTGGGATGAGGGACCTTGTTGAGTGACAAAGATGCCTCAGGTCCCCATGCTCCAGGGACAGGACATTATCTAAGAGTCCTTAGATTATTCCCTTAGATGGGACTAGTCTAGTCTGAGCTTTCCTGGGAGTCAGTGGTGGGGGGTCTTTTATCTGTTTTATTCTGTTTATGCTGTTGTGAAAGAAGTCCTCTGAGCTGAAGTAGTTTTGCTAACTTTATGGATTAAGGTACAGTTTGCCCTTAAAAGAACAGGCAGAAGGACTTAGTGGTTTTGAATGTTTTTTCCATCAATCCTACTGGAAAAAAAAGGTGTTTAAATCTTGTACGACCCGGGGCTGCTTGGTGCCAATAGGCAATAAGTGACTGCCAATCTGCTACAGACAGTGCAGAGCCAGAAACGGTCAGTCCTGACACTTGCAGCTCCTTACTTTTACTGAAACTAGAGATTGCCGTAAGTCTGGGCAGTGGAGGACAAGCAGCACATACAGACCCCAATCATGTTACCCCGTAGTTGCAGCATCTTGTATCTAGAAAGTACTGTCAAGTAAGGCCCACATTGGCTCATGAGGATGGAAGTTATCATGGAGACAAGGTGTGCTTAGATAATGCTTAGAGACACATTAGCTGCCTGCCTAGTGTCGATTTCATTAGGGATTAAGTTAATTTTAGTTTAAATTTGCAGCCATAGTGATAAACCAACAGAGGATTTTTAAATTATTCTTTTTTCCACCCTTAATAAAAAAAGAAGAAAGAAGTGTCCCCAACAGCGGGGTTGTTAGGAAGCTCTGCTGTTATAGTCTGCAGGGCTATAGCCCCCGAGGGCTCGCTCTGTTAAGGTGGGTGCCCATAAAGAGTGTAGCTGCAGCAGTGCAGCCAACCACGGATATGCCCAACAGGGTAATCCTCCAGACAATTATTAACCACCTTATTAACCCTCCCCCCCCGCAATGATAGTCTAATATCATGTTGTATTGCACCAGGGTCCAGGTGACTGACAGATTGTGTGTGCTATATTGTTGGAGCCAGGGATGAATCATGGTGTTACATTGTGGGGGTGAAGAGCACTATGTGCATGCTGGGGGCTGCATGGGATTTATTTGCAGAGGGGTCAAGACAGTGTGTCACTGTGATGCTCAGGTGAACCAGAAATAGCTGTCTGAGCTGTGGGTGCTATTTCTAAGAGTTTGCATGCGTGGTTGTGTTGCCTGAAGCAATCCCAGACTTGTTTTTTCAACCGAAAGCCCGCATGTATGGTAAGCGTGCAGTAGCCACTGCGGCACCTTTGTGCCTTCTGCTGTAAATCCTTGTTCCCCAGGGTGCCGCGAACCTGCGGTTGCATTGGGGCCGCAGCATCCCAGGCGCAGCGCCTGCCCGGGGCTGCGGAGCATCAGGGGGCACCGGGTGAAGCGGTCCAGCTCTCCCGGAGAACGAGATGGGGAAGGCAAGCCCACCGCCCTGCCAGATGCAGGCAGCGCTCCCTGCCCCTGCATCCCGCAACCAGCGGCCGGAGCTGGCAGGCAGCAGCTTGCCTGCGATATATCGCAGAGCCACCGGAGGTCTCTGTGCCCTCTGCGGAGCTGCCGGCGCTCCCTGAAGCCAGGGGCTCCCGTAGCTCCCTCTGCCCCCACCCATGACGTGAAGTCACTGGAGGGTGGGTGCAGGCGGGAGGGCAGCGGGAGGACCCCATCCTGTAGGGATGGAGCAGGCGTGGGGTCTCAGCCTGTGAACAGCGGCAAGTGCAAAGCGAAGTGGGGGAATTTGGGATGCCAGGGGCTTGGGAGCAAAGCAACGCAACATTGCTGTGCGGCACGACAAGAAGCATAGCCCCCCCTTTTCTAGAAACTGCGCTGCCAAGCCATGTGAACAAAAACCGAAACCAAAACCTCAGCAATTCCCTGTGCTGTGGTATTTTGGTGACATAAAAAACGCATGGGAAAGTGTGTCGGGAGAGAGTGCACTTCCACCTACCAGGACTAATGTATGGGGTTGTGAAATACTGGCAGTTCTTCAAGGCCCAGTACAGAAGGGGAGGGCAGATGTGAGAGCAAACAGTTAATGATTTACACCTGGAAATTGAAAGCTGTGTGCCAATTAGGAAAGGAGGAGCAGGTGCTCCCCACAGCCGTGCCCTCCAGACAGCAGGTAGATGAGCACCGCAGCACCTTTTGAATCTCTCTGGAGGGATCCTGAGCATAACTGACATGAGGACCCTAGATGGCGTGAGGTTTTAATGTGTAACAGCAAGGAAACCTAATCTTGTAATGAATAAGCGGGAGGGTAACATCCTTCTCCGCTCTTAGGAAATCGCTGGCTCTGGGAGGGGTCAGCTCTGGTATGTGAAGGCCAGTCACATGCCTTCAGAATTGAAAAAAAAAAAGGGAGGAAAAAAAATGATTAGAGGCTTGTAGGCTGCAAGTTTCTATGGGCTCCTGGGTGTCTGGATCTTTCGTCTCTGCTGCCCTCCCTATCAGCTGCTGGCCGTGGTTAAACGCGGTAAGTCCTGGCGAGAGCCGTGTGATGTGCCTGCTCTGACAGCCGCCTGCCGGGCTTCCTTAGGGCAGGGGGACGTCAGCTGGCCCCTGGGTTTTCCTGCAGGATGGGCTGGCTTGCTTTTGCAAGTAGTCCTTTCCTAGCACAGCTCAGGTCAGTGTCTGGCCAGTGGAGGAGGGATGCTTGGGGAGGAGGGCGTGCAGCTTGCCTTCCTTGGGGAATGGTTCCAGCTCTTGGTGTCTTTTGGGGGGTTTAATCTCTTTTCTAGGTATGTAATGATCATCCGTCTGGGGGAAAACAAATTTCTGCAGCTGAAGTAGCCTGAAGTTTCCCCAGGTTGGGGTGGGAGAACTGGAGGACACGAGGGGGAGTGTGTCAGGTTTCGGAGCTGAGGGACAGCCTCGCTGTGTATCGGGGCACCATGGGGTCCCCGTGAAACATGCTGAGCCACAGGTTGCCAGTATAATGAAGCTTTGCAGTGGCAATAGAGACATTGCATGTGGGCTGTGTTTGGTCCCCTTGCCTCCGTGTTACCCCTGGTAACTGCTTGCAAGGTGCTACCCAGATGTTGAGCCTGAGTTTGCATCACCTGAACCAGGTGTAATCATTTGCACCAAATTAGAGTGGGAGGAAGCGGACATATTTCCAAAGCAGCAACATATACCTGAGGGAAAAGTGAGTTATCTTTGCTATGTATACAGTGAGCAACAGAATATCAGTGTGTCTAAAAGTAAAGTATGAAGTTGTCTCGGTGATGATCCCTATCTTTCTTTTCTACTTTCACACTTTAAGAACAGAATTTCTTTTAATCTTTATTTTTTCTGCATTCTTTATAGCAGACTCCCATTCCCTCTTCCTTTGTATGCTACAGTCAGAACAAGAAATTAAACCAAAAAACGTCTGGCATTTCTTTTCCTGAGTTGTCTTGGAAGGTGTGGTCTCTGTTGGTAGGACATCGCCCAAGATTTTTCTAAATCTGGAGAGAAAATTAAAAAATCTGTATTGCAGCTCCTAATCCTCAAAAATGCTAAATATTTGCCACCTACCATCATCTTCAAAGGACTGCTGGTGTTCAGCAAATTCTGCAAATCCTGTTATTTTCTTTTTTTTCCCTAGAGATGCGAACACAAATTTAGTCACGTATATATTCTTTTGTAATTCAAGGGGGGAAGAAAACAAACTTCCTAAAGCAATGTGGTAGTTCTCAGAATAAGTGACAAAAACCTAGACTGCAGTTCCCAGTGACTGCCACGTTACTTTTAATGGTTTGGGCCTCTCATAGTAGTTCCCATAGTTGTTTTCTTTCTTCTGCATATGGGTCATTTCCAGCAGTTTCTTAGTTGGCACTCTGATTATTTTGTCTTTGAGACAATGGACTTTGTTGACAGATAAACCCCATTTTGATCCCTTTCTCCAGATTGATTCTCCAAGTCTCCTCCCAGTTTATCAGTATCCTGCATGCCAGTTCTACTGCTGTTTTTCAGTTCACACTCTGGTATTTTTGTCCAAGGTAGCTTGTATGTGATTTTTAATGTAGATATGAGACTCGGTACTTAAATATCTAACACATAACCTTTATTCATTGATTTTGTTAGTCTGTCCAACAGCAGTCTAATTTCATTATAAATAACCCAGCCACCAAGCCATTAATTGGTT